GGCGGTCAGGCTAGCGAAGTGGACACCCGGGCCTCACCCACCCTCTCACTCAGTTCTGACAGGGAGAGCAGCCGTGGGGAGGGTGGGTTGGGGGCCGGACTCGTCCAGGCAGGACATGGGTCACCTCTCCCGGGTGCAAACATATTCTAGAAGTGGCGACTCCATCCGTGGAGGTGGTGAATTCAGTGAGCAGTTTGCCGTTTGCTGATGAAAAAAGGATGCTGAGGTAGTAAGGACACTGCTATTTATACATCGTGCACGTATTGGTAGTGACGTCCTATTAGTCGGCTACGTGCTGATAGAATTTCAGTGGGCAAGTGCGTGAGGGTGATTGGAGGAGGTAGTACCTATAGAGTCTAGTAGAGGGCGGAGCCTGTGTGAGATAGAACTGCCTCAAGCCTGCGACCCATCGACATCACCAAACTTCATTTGTGATGCTATTCTAGGCTTTTACCGCAGCTTCTTTCAGTTCTTGTTTGTTTCGTGGTGTTTCTCCTTTCAGTCTCCTCTTAAGGAGGTGAAATGCATGCTCTATTGGGTTATGGTCAGGTGACTGACTTGACTAGTCTAAAACTTTTACTTTTTTCCCCTGATGAAGTCCTTTGTTTTGTTGGCAGTGTGCTTTGGGTCATTGTCCTGCTGCATGATGAACTTCCTCCTGATTAGTTTCAATGCATTTCTCCGGAAATTGGTTTCTGTACACTTCTGAATTAATTCTGCTACTACCCAGGGTTCCCGCTGCTCCTTAAAATGTCTTAAAAGGTCTTAAATTGAAATCAGGGAAATTAAGGTCTTAAATTTACCGTAAATTTGCTGTAGGTATTAAATTTGCCGATGGTGCGTTTAATGCTGGTGGGAAAATTATCATGCACAGTCGCCTAAAATCCTAATTAGCGTGTATTTGTATGGTTTTCTTTTAATAATTGACAATGTGAGACCCCGCCATTAATATAACTCATGTTACATTTACGTTAGCTGCAGACGTTGACGTCTGGCTGCCTGTCATATTGTCAGTCGTGGCTGCAAGATTGGGAGACGCAAGTTAAAGATCCGATCGTTCTGTCTAGCTCAAACTGTAGCCTACATCACGTCCTCCTCTCATTTGCGCAGGTCCAAAAATTGTCTACAACTACAGGTTAAAATAACTTTCTAAAGTATGTCTTTCACCGTGATTTGTTTTCCTCCATGGATTATTTACCTCTCTTTAGCGCCGCGCCTGTGTATTAGCTCAGCCGGAAAGTGAAACTTAAGTTTGGTCCGGCATCGTCTTGCTACATTTCTTTATAATGTGTAAGTTTATCTTTTCTGTTATTTTAGTAGTTTATATTGAGTTTAACACAGCAGTGTATGAGTAATGGCTCGGCGATATGGACAAAAATAGTACATTATAAGTTTAAAGGCAGACTTTTTGCTCCTGAAGAAACCAGATGGTTAATTGTGCTTTTAAACTTTTCATGTCAACAACATGACAAACACTTGATGTCACTTCACAAAGCTGCATGACAAACAAATATGCATGAGAAAAATAAAGTAAAATCTTTTTTCAGTCCCCTTTCCTCAACACAATAAATATCTTAATAGAAAAGAAAGTGCTAATTCGTTTTCGATTCAAATGAATTAAATCAAATATTTATTGAACATCTGTATATTGTTATAGAGGAAGATTATATCACGATAATTAACATTATTTTATTTGCAGAAGACTGTGACTGGTACATATTTCCACCCAAGTAGTTGTTGTACGTGGATAGACAACGCATTTGCATCCATGTGGTCAAGTGCTACCCGATCACAATCTGATCACCCAAAATACATTTTAATGCCAGGTGTAAACAGCCTCTATGTTCCCCGATTCAGAATATGCAGAGAGTAAACTGCCAAATATGGAATTGTGTTGTTCATTAAGAGATCAAACGCGCATCTCTTTTCTATCAAAGAAATTGTTTCAAAATTTGAAATCTTAAATATATATTTGTTGAGGTCTTAAAAAGCATTAAATTTGAATTTTCAAATGGTGCAAGAACCCTGCTACGATCATCAGTTACATCATCAATAAATATTAATGAGCCTGTTCCAGAAGCAGCCATGCATGCCCAAGCCATGACATTACCTCCACCATGCTTCACAGATGAGCTTGTATGCTTCAGATCAAAAGCAGTTCCTTTCTTTATCCACACTTTGGGCTTTCCATCAATTTGGTAGAGATTAATCTTGGTCTCATCAGTCCATAAAATTGTGTTCCAGAGCTTTTGCAGCTCATCTCTGTGCAAATTTCAATCTGGCCTTCCGATTCTTACTGCTGAGTAGTTTGCCTCTTGTGGTGTGGCCTCTATATTTCTGCTCTCTGAGTCTTCTTACAGTGGATTGTGATACCTTCACCCCTGCACTGTGGAGGTCGTTGGTGATTTCACTTACTGATGTTTTGGGGTTTTCTTCACAGCTCTCACGATTCTGTCATCAGCTACTGTTGTTTTCCTTGGCCGACCTGTTCGATGTCTGTTGCTCAGTACACCAGTAGTTTCTTTCTTTTTCAGGACATTCCAAATAATTGTGCTTGCTATGCCCAATATTTGTCCAATGGCTCTGGTTGATTTTCTTTCTTTTCTCAACTTGACTATGGCTTGCTTTTCTCCCATAGACAGCTCTCTGGTCTTCATGTTGGTTTATCGTCTTTAACAGGAAATGCAGTCTTTATAGGTTTGAACCAAGGATGAAAACTTAGACAAGTCATGTAGAGCTATTTAATGTTTGGACAATCAACCTAAAAGGCAACACCTGGGCAACAAGAAACATCTGACAGTCACATGTTCCAATAGTTTTGCTCACTTGAAAAATGGGTGGGTTCAAACAAAGGGTGGTATGTCCTGAGTTGTTTAACACATCTAGATGTGAATACCACGAAATGAGAGCTGAAATTCTGAACTCTAGTCTTATACTCATCTTTTGACCCAAATGTCTTCAGTGAACAACAAAAACAAAGGAATTTGCCTTACCATTCCGATACTTTTGGAGGGGACTGTACACAATTAATGATAATAATAATTTTACACTTGCATCCTTTGCACTCTGCTCACTGCACTATTTGTCAATATGTCTATATTATATTGTTTTTTGTTTCTGTTTATGGTGTGTATATTTGTGTTCTCTATACTGTAGCCTGTGTCTGATTTTATTATTGTGTTATTGTATTATTATTGTATGAGTAAGCATATTGTGAGCAATGCACAAACCAGTCAGATTCCTCATCTGTGTATACATAACTGGCGAATAAAACTGATTCTGATTCTTCTGATTGGCTAGTAGTCCTTAACTGGGAACCACGCATGTGCAACTCCCAACAAAGATCTTGTCTTGAGGTAAGATGCATCACTCCATAGCTAAAACGAAGTATTCAACACTTTTTTTGATTTTGAACCTGAAAATTAATATAATATGACCTCTTTAAGGATGTAAACACCTAGATGACCTGCAGTTTTCTAAAGTTAAGTTCAGACCGAACTGAAGTTATTGGACTATTGTGCCCCAAACACCTCTGACATAAATTATCGAAAGATATAGTTACTCTGGGTGGCATTGCCCTGGCCTCCATCACTACCGTTAGGAATCTTGGAGTTATCTATGATCAGGATATGTCCATTAACTTCCACATAAAACAAACCTCTGTATATTGCAAAAATCAGGCATATCCTGTCTCAAATTTATGGAAATGGTGAAAATATGAAAAAGACACCAGTGGAATAGATGTCACTCACTATTTATTAGTATGTGCAAAACTAAAAAATACATTCCCCGTCAAAAACAGAAATCAGCTAACAATGCCAGATTGAATAGTGAAATACAAGAAAATGGAAATTCAGTTTGATTATGAAGTCAAGACAAGTACGGTCTATTTGTAATGCACCTTTCACCAACAAGGTAATTCAAAGTACTGCACATAAAACAAAAAAGGCATTGAGACAAGATAGAAAAGAAACAAAAGGCAATATAAAATGACAATATAATAAGACACACAAGGATTTCAAGAGCAAAATAAATACAAGTAAATAAGTAAGCTAAAATAAAAATCAGTTCAAACAATAATAAATATAAAAAGTATAGTCCAGCCACAGTGATATGAATTGAAGATATGGATTATTAATCCCAAATTTAATAGTTTTGAATTTTAAAACTCTTTTAAAAGATCTGAGAGTTAGGAGTTTGTTCAGATTTCAGTTTTTGTGATGAATAAAAAGTAGGGCTGTCAAATGATTAAAATTTTTAATCAAATTAATCAGAATTTTCAGTGGATTAATCAGGATTAATCACTATTTGCAATTACACCTGAATCCTAACCATTTTTTTTTTCTGAAATGCATACCAAAAGATAAATAAAAAGACACAGATACATAATTTTCATATTATGTCTGTTTATTAACACAGCCAAATAATGGTGGTTTAAATCAAGCTGAAACATACTACAAACCATAATATTTGTTTTTGTAATGTCCCATCGCTTCTTCTTTGGCATTCCTCTTAACCAGGATGTACAATTTACAGCATTCAATTGAACATAAAGCAATAAATGTAGTCAAATCATAACAGTGACCTACCATATTTTTGCACAATTTGAGTCATCTGTTGCGTTTTTATGTGGAAAAAAAACATTTTCAATAAAACTTTTAAATCAAACCAAAGAACAATCTTTTACCTTTTCGTCCATTCTTTAATCCAGTTGCTCAAAAATCCAGTTTCTAACTACTATAACATGTTGCACTGAAACTGGTCTTTTTGTTTGAACATCACCTTTCAAATCTACTGAGCTTCATCATCTTTCAGCCAGTTGCTGAGGCAAACTAATTTGTTCACATTTTCTGAAAGTAAAGCTGATCTTTTCTTGTTCACAATGTGACCTGCAACTGAGAAAAGTCGTTCACAGGGAACAGTGGTTGCAGGAGTCGCTAGATATTTGTGAGCTAGTGAGGCCAGCTTCTCATGGGCTCCTGAATGAGATTCCCACCACCTCAGGGGCCGTCCTCCAATTTAATGGTGGGCTCTGCTCTGTACCTCTGTATGGCAGGTTGGACCTCTTCATCTTCTGATTCTGAATCTGAGCCCATTTGCAGAAGGCTGATTTTCTTCCTGGGTGGCCCATCATCATGTGTCTTTGAAGACTTTCTGGGTGATTCTTGTTGCAGCATCCGTTCAAGTGTGGTCCACACCGCTTCCCTGTCTGTCTTGGGCAGGCATTTCAAGTCTTTGAAACGAGGATCCAAAACTGTAGCAATCTGGAGCCATGCATTGTTGAGCTGTTCTTGACGGGATGCTAGGTCTTCCTTGAACTTGGTCTTGAATCTCACCACATATGCAGGGTCCTCATCACAGGCTTCCATCTTGAGACGCAAGTGGCAGAGAGAAGGTAGTACCACAGAACAGGAGACATAGGCCTCTCCACCCAGGAGCTCAGTTACATACCTACACACACAAACACACACATGCACACAGAGACAGTCTATTATTAGAACAGTGGTTATCAACATAGTATTATTATTATTATTATCATTATTATTATTATCATTATTATTATCATTATTATTATTTACATACAAGTTATTGATATTTGACTTGGTTTAATTCATTCCAGAAAATAATCAAAGCAATGTTATTTGATAAGTTACAGACTGATTTACCTGCATGGCTCTAGAAGTGTCTCCAGCCTCTGCAGTTTATCCCACTCTGCTGCGGTCGGCAAAACGAGTTTGTGATCCTGATTGTCCAGGGCTGCGATGACAGCCTCTTTATTTCTGCTCACGCGCTTGAACATTTCCAGCGTCGAATTCCAACGTGTTGGAACATCCTGGATCAATGGCTCTTGCTTCTTTCCCAGGCTAACTTGTTGTGCTTGAAGCTCCGCAGCATTTGCTGGGCTGTGCTTAAAATGACCGACAACTTTGCGAGCCTTGGCCAAAGCATTTACAAAGCCGCTCTCAGCAAGACCGTGACACTTCTCTGCACCATGTGAGCAACACAGTTCATGTGTTCATAGCGTGTTAGTCGAATTGCGGCAACCATGTTGCGTGCACTGTCAGTCCCAATTGTTGTCGTCTTGCCCTCGATGTGCCACTTACGTGCAACAGACAGGAACTGTTCTTTACAAGCCTCCGCAAAATGACGCTCCTCAGTTTTTAATATAGTCAGCGCAAAAGACTTCAGTTCCCACGTGTCACTGATGAAATGTGCAGTTACTCCGAGGTAATTGTTGTTATTCACTGATGTCCAATGGTCTCCTGTCAGGGCGATATGATTTACTTGAGCCAAGACCTCTTTCCTTTTTCGTTTTGATAGAGCTCGTGGATTTTCGTCATAACTGTGGCTCTTGACGGTGGCCTATAGGATGAGTCTTGAGACGCCACTTGCAAAACATCAATGAAACCTGAGTCTTCTACAATACTAACGGGTCTACAATCCTTTGCAATCCATTTTGCTATTTTGTTGGTCAAATTATCTGAGGTTGATTTTGTTAATGGCCCGCGAAAATTCAGCGTGGTCTGGCGCGAACCACTTGCTGAACCTGACGACCCAGCAAACGCATGTTTGGCGTTGACATGGTACCTCAAGCTTGAACAGCTCCGGTGAAATTAAAACTCCTTGTTACAAACAATGCAAATAACCGTGTACTTGTTAACTGTACCATCATCATTCTTTTTATATTTGAATCCGTCAATAGGCCCACTTTGCTCACCTTGCTCCATCTCGCCTCTAGTTCCCGTCCCAACCACTTTCCTGACCTGAATAATTTGTCACACTGCGCATGCGTGAAATGCGTTAAAAAAATTGACGTAATTAACGACAAACAACGAATTAACGTTGTTAACGCGCTATTTTTGACAGCCCTAATAAAAAGAGAATGCTGCTTCTCCATATTTAGTTTTGAATGCAGCACAGAGATCTAATACCAAGATCAAATTATGCCGCTGCCTGTGTTTATGTGGATATCATTCAAGACCTAAAAAAGAGCAGTCTCAGTGCTGTGGTGTGATTGAAATCCTAACTGGAAAACATCTTTTATGGCCATGAAGGTGTTAAACTTTAAACTGCCTATAATTGTTAATTAGTTAGTTGTCTAGATTATTAACTGTTGAATCACATCAAGCCAGCTTTATGTATGAAGCACAAATCATTACAAGAGAATTCATGTGTTTCACAAGAGACATTTAAATATCAAGCATATGCAACAAAGTGGCTTAACAATTCTCTCTCTCTCTCTCTCTCTCTCTCTCTCTCTCTCTCTCTATATATATATATATATATATATATATATATATATATATATATATATATAGATAGATAGATAGATAGATAGATAGATATGTGCACACACACACATAATGTACACACACACTATTCATAGGCTTTCAAAGGTTTAGTTACCGTTTTTATAGATCACAGCTCATTAGGCAGAGCATTCCAGAGGGCAGGTCCACATTAACTAAAAGCACCTTTACTAGCCACTTATCTTATTCTGGGTACAGCCAGAAAGCCACTGGCCTGAGAGGTCCAATAGGGGTATAGTGAGCAGGTCAGAGAGATACTGACAATATTAACCATGTGTTTCCTTAAAAACTAATAGGCAGATTTTGAAGTGAATTATCTGTTCAATGGGTAGCCAGTGAATTGACTCAAGTATTGGAATGATGTCTGTGAAGATTCTGTCATCGAGGTCATAGTTATCCAGTGTGGGTTAAAATCACACTTGGTTGAAAATACTTGAAGACGTTTCGCCTCTCATCCAAGAGGCTTCTTCAGTTCTGACTGTGGGGTTTGTTATCAAGGAGATGAATACAGCTTGGTTAGTTAGTTTGGTTCATTGGTTAGTTTGTTCATTGCATCCTCACATTCTCAGAATTCCTCCAGGGTGATTTATGGGCCCTGCATATCCATTCAGCAAGTGGTCCAAAATTTTAGATAAAGTAGCATAAAAAGCCGTTCACCACAGGTAGATAAGGGGGTAAGGTATACTGGGAATACCTCTGAATAAAAATGCCTGCAGTGTTTTCATTAATGTAATGCTTCTGAACCAATTTGTTAGTTTTGGATTGTTCACAGCACAGGTTAAAAAAGATACAATAATGATCAGAGATTGCATCAAGCACAGGTGTTATGACAACATCAGAACTTTTAGAAAGCACTAAATCTAATGTATGACCCAATTTGTGAGTAAAACAGGATACATGGTTAAACTCAAACAAAGTAACCAACTTTAAAAACTGTTTAGTTACATAGTTGATGCTCATGTCCATATGTACATATGTTAAAGTCACCTGTGATAACAATGCTGTCATAGTGAACTAAAAGCAGCTCACCTCCCACTGTCATGAGAATGGGTGTTACAAAAGATGGATATTGACCAAAAGAAAAAGGTTTTCATTATAGTGAAAGTCATAATATAAAACTGCAACATCTCTACCTTCCTCGTGGACCTAGGACCCTTGCACCAAGAATAACTAGCAGTGTGTCCATTGGTTAACATGACGTGTCTGAACATGGATATTCCCACCACAAACACAATTAATCTGCAAAAACTGTGGTGACTGCTCCAGTGAAAGTCATTACTGGTAACAGCTGGCAGCTGAAGATGACAAGTTGGAGGGAGATGAGACGGGCGCAGGCCACTTATGCTGACCATAGTCCAAAGGGGTCAAATGTCACCAGCTAGCTGAATTGCCTCGGATCTGGTGTAGAATGGAGAATCTCTTCTGGAGCTCAGATCTGTTGACTGTGCTATTTGTAGTTTACACATTCAGGTGGAGACTACACTAGCTCCGAGGGAAAGTGACTTTTATACTTTTTTTGTTACCTTTTCTAAATTAACTCTTTGTGACTGCTTTTACTGTAGTTAGAAGACAGTTTATACAATTATTTAAACTTGGGCATTGCAAGATGTACAATACTCGACAGAAACAAGACACCCAAAAAGGAGGCTGCAAAACACCGCGTCCTCCTGATCCCGAAACACCGGACCCAGAGAGCATCGCTGCTAGCACTCTGGATGCTAGGATACAAGCTATGATGGATGCGCTTCAGAATGATATATTCTCTAAAATGGACACTGTTGCTGTTGGATTGCACTCTGAGATCTTGTCTGTTAGAGGGGAACTGAAAGCCTCAATTGAACCACGGTTAGTGGACTCTCATGAAGCAGTAGTGCGGGACCTGAAGCAGGCCGCTAACGACCATAGCTCCCGTATAAGCGAACTCGAGGCTACTGTTAGCAAGTTAACCGCTCGGGTGAATCGTCTGGATGATAAGTGCGAAGACTTGGAAAGTAGATCTCAAAGAAAAGGTAAAGTATGGGCTTCTATACCCCGCCACACTTAGGATCACTTGTGTTTTATTTCTGTTGTTGCTGTCTTGTGTTTTCTAGGTTTTATTGTATTTGTTTTATCAACTTACACTGCTGTGGTGACGGTCTATTTGTCATTGTTCTTGACATCTTTTTTCTGCCTTATCTTTGGTGGATGGCCCAATCGAATGTAAACCTAAGTACTGATGGAGGTGACCTCAAGCTGGTGTCCTGGAACTGTAAAGGCCTAAACTCCCCTGTGAAGCGTACTAAGGTATTAAATCATCTTAAAACGTAGGAGCACAGATTATTTATATTCAAGAGATGCACTTAAAATCTACCCCTCTTTCTCAAATTAAAAGTAGGTGGGTTCGTCAGACCTATTACTCATCATTTCACAGTAAGTCCAGGGGCGTTGCCATCTTATTTCATAAATCAATTCCCTTTGTTTGTTCTAAAGTGCTTTCTGATCCTAATGGTAGATATTTGAAAGTTACAGGCAGCTTATACGGCACCCAACTCATTTTAGTTAATGTGTATGCCCCAAACTGGGATGACACTGAGTTTTTCAAGAAACTTTTTTCTGCCCTTCTAGACATGTCCTCCCACTTACTCATCTTGGGTGGGGACTTTAATTGTTGGTTGAACCCAGATCTTGACCGTTCCTCCAGTAAAGCTGCAGCGCTTTCAAAATCAGCTAAAGTTATTAAAGACTTTATGGAGAACTTTTCAATTTCAGATCCTTGGCGTTTCTTTAATCCCACAAGCAAAGCATTTTCCTTTTTCTCTCCTGCGCATCGCACATTTACTCGGCTTGATTATTTCTTATTGGATAATCGATTTCTTCCATGTCTCACTCCTACCTCTTGCTCACATGAACCAATGGTTATCTCAGACCATTCTCCTGTTGTACTTAACATTAGGTTTAAAGGCTTGGTTTGATCACGCTGCCCTTGGCGTCTTAATACGCGCTTGTTGTCAGATGAAAAATTTGTTGATATGATCTCCAGCCAAAATGATTTGTTTTTGAGTACTAACAGGACCCCTGATGTTTCTGCATCTGTCCTAAGTGAGACGTTGAAAGCTTACATTAGAGGTCAAACTTTCTCTTACGTGAATCATGATTGAAGGCTGAATAGGGAGAGATTGGTCACTCTAACTAATCGCATTAGCCAATTGGATGCCGTGTAGGCCACTTCTCCGACTCCTGAGTTATATAAAGAATGCCTTACAGCTCAGTCAGAATTTAACACATTGGCTGCGGATCGTCCCCGCGACCCTGTACGCAGGATAAGCGGTTGACGATGGATGGATAGATGGATGGCTGCGGATCGTGCTGTTGAGCTGTTACTTAAGACTTGTAGTGCATACTTTGAACAGGGGGACAAAGCAGGTAGAATGTTGGCACATCAATTACAGCAGACTATCTCCTCCCATCAGATTCCGGAAATTGCTACATCTTCAGGCACTACAATAGACCCAGAAAAAATAAATGATGAATTTAGAGCTTATTATGCCTCATTATATGCATCAGAGACAAATGCGGGAAAGCATGATTTTGATGGCTTCTTCTCCCGTTTAAAAATCCCTCCGGACAATTTAGATATGGCAGATCAATTAGAAACCCCAATAACTGCTCTAGAACTTTCGGGTGCTCTTAAGACGATGCAGTCTGGCAAATGTCCAGGGCCAGATGGCTTTAGAGTTCCTGTAGAGTTTTATAGGTGCTTTCAAAACAAACAAGACCCGGTTCTGATTCATATGTTTAATGAATCTTTTCTGACTGGTAAACTTCCCTCCACACCTAATCAGGCATCGATTTCTCTTATCTTGAAAAAGGACAAGGACCCTCTTAGTTGCTCTTCTTACAGACCAATTAGTTTACTAAATGTTGATATTAAAATTTTAGAAACTGTTCTTCCAGGTATCATCTCTCCTGATCAAAGGGGGTTTGTTAAAAATAGGCACTCCTTTTTTACTTTACTCTTTATCGTTCAACGCGCCAAGGGTGCCCTTTAAGTCCTCTTTTATTCGCCGTGGCAATTGAGCCTCTTTCCACTGCGCTTCGCCATGACCCGCACATTAGAGGCATTGTGAGTTGTGGGCAAGAACAGAAAGTGTCTCTATATGCAGACGATCTTCTTTTATTCATTACTGACCTCTCTGTGTCAGTCCCAGCTGCACTCTCTGTTCTTCGTTTATTTGGATCCATATCTGGTTGCAAGCTAAATTTAGAGTGAGCTTCTTCCTCTTAATAAGGTAGCACATGAATACCCACTTCATACCCTATCATTTAAAGTTGCTCAGCACGAGTTAAAATATCTTGGGATTCAGGTTACTGCTAAATTCAAGGATCTTTATTGCGCTAATTTCACTACTCTTCTGTCTCAAGTATACAGCAGTTTTAAT